GAGCTTTGACAGGCTACAAAGGGAAAAAGGCCCCAGGCCGTTTGGTGACACAGCCTGTCATTTCACATGGCATTGCATGGCCACATAGTGAAGCTGGCATAGCTATGGCCCCCTCTGTATTGTGCTTTTCCCACCCCGGCTCTACCACTCTCCTCAGGTCGTGGCCAACTTGCTTCAGCTTCGTACACAGTCAGAAGCACAGTATTTACAGCAAATAAGCCCAAAGGCGCACAGACGACACCCGTACACTGCGGCCATCAGCGCAGAGCTCACTGGCTCTGATAAAGAGCCGGGAGGATTTAGTGAATATGATGGATCTGATGAAAACAATGATCATTGCTTTTATGACATGTGCTGGGTATAAAACACTGAGATGGTTTGCTTCTAAAGAAAACAGTAACAAAACTGCTGGGACTGGAATCGTCTTGAAATATCTCCAGGCTACTATTTGAAAGGGTTTTACATCACACGTGGTGAATTCAGCCACGATCTCTTTGTTAAATGGTTCAGAAAATAATAAATATTACAGCTGGGGAGAGAAGAATGAGACGAGTGAAATCTGATACCAAAACAAAGAAGTTTATACTGCAGCTCTATAGCCACTAGTTGTAATTGAAATGACAACATCTCATTTTGCCAGGGACCCATGGGGGATCGCTGCCCTGGAGACAGATGGGCTCTAGAGAAGCACAACAGCGAGCATATCATAACGGCTGGTGCAGCATCAGATTATATAAACAATGTTGGTATTGGTCCAAAACCATTTGCACCTCGTTAATATCAGGCTTCATATGCAACTGACAGCAGGTCTCATGCTATCACATGTTAAATATGGTGTTTTTAGTAGCATTTAAAGGAGACATGTCTTACACAATTATCCTGCTTTGTACGACGATCCTCAAAAAAATCCTTGGTCAATATACTTGTGAAAATACTGAGTATTGCTTTCAGCTACAAAACACATTCTGACAAACAGATTCAGCCTGTGTAGTTAGTTGTGTTTGTTTCATTGCAGCTCAGCAGTTTTGCTATAATATTATTCACTAATGACAAAATTCATCAGTATAATTTTTACCTCAAACAAGGAGAATATGTTTTCACCACTGTTTGTCTGTCAGAAAAATTACTCAAAAAGAATCTGAACAGATTTCCATGAAACTTGTTGAAAGGATAGAACCTGAGCAAAGACAGAACCCATTACGTTTCAGGGCAGATCTGGACAAAAGATCCAGAAATGTTATTTTCACTTACTCCAACATCACGAGATTTTTTGGTGTTTGTTGGTGTTTTTAGATATTTTCATCATAGAATGTATATAAAGATGGATGACATGACAGTTCCCCATGGGTGAAGCCAAAGCATCTATATTATCACCTGTTATCTCGACTATGACTCTGGCTCGGAGCAGTGTTCATATTGATATTATATAGGTATTTTGGCTTCACTTCTGGATAGTGGAGGGAAGTGGAGATGCGTCATCCATCTTTATTTACAATCTGATGTTCAGCTACGGCCTAAAATAAACACTTTGAAACTATAAGCACATTCACTGAAGCACTGCGCACACAGTTTTACACTCTCCTACATTTCAAAGAGAAGTATTGCCTTTTGACTTTAATTATAATTATTTGATAAATAGAATGTATTTGTTAATTCACAATGTTCATACATAGGATATGATTATCTCATAACCAATAAATAAACTATGCACAACACAAAGATGCTCAACATAAACTTGACATAAAAATGCTGCCTTTATGTCAATGGACTATGCAATGAATCAATCATTTTCGCAATAAAAGTAAAATCATTAAATAGCAATATGACAAAGGGCCAATACACAGTGAGGAGGTATAAACACATAAAACCTCAGATATGTTAAATGTTTCCTTCACTCAGGGGCAAAATTCAGCCTTTAAATAATAGAAATAATATCGAGATATGTATATATACACACACATATATATGTATATATACTCCGACATGTGTAGTTTTACTTTCTATGTATGCAGGTACTTTGCTGGTAATACATTGGGCTCATGATATTGTACTTTTACTCGCATCATATTGTGAATGATAGACTTCAGTGGTATTTCTAGTGTAAAGGAACATATCTGGATACCTGGTGTACTGCAGTTTTATTACACAATAAACAGTAGAAACACTACAACCACGTGGCTCTCATTCATCACAGATAATCGAGTAGATGACTGAACAGATGAAGTTGGATGTGTCTCACCTCACACGCTTCTCTATGGATCCTGTGGACGTCCATCTCCTCCTGGGTGCACCTCCTCTGGTTCTTCTCCTCCCCCGCCCTGCTGCTGCTGCCGCTGCCTGTCACCGGCTCTGACCGCCTCCTGTCGGCATCGACCCGGGACACGCAGCCGCTCCTCCTCGGTGGCCCCGAGCTTTCTTCGGAGTGGTTCGGTAACGACATCGTTACGAGTCGTTTATTGAAGCGGAGGCGGATCAATCCGCAGACGAACGCTTTACTCGGGTGATTCTGGTGAAACATGCTCCTGGAGGTGGAGGTGGTCACTGGAGAGAACCCCTCAGAAAGTCCCCTCACAGGCTCACCTGTCGCAGAGAGACACAAACCAGTTCTTTATTAAATAACGTGACGTGTGTGTGCGGCATGTTTACCTCCACGATTCCTCTCAGCCCTAAACTTTCTACTTCCTCGTCACATTGGTGACATGTGACCGTCTCACCCACAAGTCCACACAGCGCCCCTGCTGGTCACAAGCAGCTACCGAAACACTGATGACGTGAGGATGTCTACAGTTTACTGAAGGGGGCATAAAACTTAAAGGTTCAGTGTGTAGAATTGAATGGTGAAGTTTCATGTTGCAGCCGAACACCCCTCCCCTCCCCCTCCCCCTTCCAAACAGGAAAGAGAACCTGTGGAAACCTTGAGTTGTCATAAAAACTTAAAAGATGTTTATTTAGTCCAGTTTGGATGACTGTAAAAAACATGGTGGCCTCCGTAGAGAGGACCCACTCCTGATGTAAATATAAAGTATTTAAATATAAAGGACCCATTCTAGTAAAGAAGACAATAATTCCAGACGAGTGAAAACATCACTAGGATTATTTTATATATTAAATTTAAACTACTATCTACCAAAAGACAGTGTTGTGTCGAACATTATGAGATTCTGTGGACTATATTATTCTCTGGGTGTCAAGGTGGTGAAGCAGCTCCACTATCCCTGCACTGTACGACTTCTCTCTCCTTGACTGCCATGGAGTGCAAACAAAGACTTCTTATAATGTTGAAGTAATGTGGGGACTTGGAGAAAGCACTGCAAGGTTGATGAGGGGACATTAATGAGTCCCTCCAAGGTTATCCACCGCTGTAAGCCACCTCCGATGATGTGTCTACTCCAGGATTCTGGGTAATGAAATCTGACAAGTGTCTTTTGACTGACATTGTGAGGTCAATTTACCATCAGACAAATTACACATCACTCGTAAAAAAAAAAGCAGACCTACTATGGGAAGCTTAGAGGACATAGAAATGTGGTAGATGCACATAATGCCTTTTGTTTAGTTTAGTCCATTTTTGAACAACAATGGTGATATAATATATTGAATATAGAGGAAATACACTGAGGTAAAGGAAGCTATCTAAATGGATTATTCGGAGCCCTCCCTTTGTTTCAAAAGAAAGTAATATACAATAAATACATTTTAAGGCCATTTATTTTCTATTAAAAATACAATTTTCTGATGTATTTGCAAACCAGCTGCTCATATTAAACTGATAAAAATCGATAATACAGAGGTTTCATAAATGATATTGCCATAGACTCCAGAATTCAATGCAATCATTTGTATTAACTCTGCTGTGGACTGCATTAAGTTTAGACTTTCTTTCTTTTTCTGGGCCTGAAAAATACAACGGGACACTTGATTGTACTTTTTTATTGTTAGTTTCTAATCAGTGAATATAATCTGGGACTGTTTGCTGTTCCTTGAAATATGAATCCTCACTGGTTTGCAGTACCCAATGCTTTATGTCTGTTTGCATGTGTCATATTGTCTTTTTTATGTTAACACTGCAGCACCGCCATTATCATTTCATACGGATGCCTGAAACAGTATGCCCCAGTCTGCTGCCACTTAATTACCTTCCAGTCAGCCTGGAGAAATCTGGCTCTGATCCAGACACACTCTCTGGAGAGGGGAGAGGAGTACATCTGAGCTATTGGTTTCAATTTACCATGGGACAAATATTGCTTAAACATGAGATGCAATGTAAACATTAAAAGGAAAAAGTCCACCCTAAAATAGAATTCACATGGCGCGGAATAGCAGTAGTGATTGCGAAGAAGGGAAATCAACACTTACAAAGAAACAAATATGTCCCTCAAGATGGAAATCAGAGCCTCTAGTTATTAATTGATAATGTCATTCGGTGTCACTGTGGGGAGTTGGTCCACTGATGAATTAGCAGCTGACTCTCTCAGCTCAGAGGACGTTTTGTTTGCGATATTACACTGAAATTTGATTTAACTGAATGACTTGTATCACAACATGTGAAACAAGGAGCTGAAATCTGACCTGTTGAGCTATGAAATAACATAGAGAATAATAAAAGTATTTGTATTTTATTTTATTTTAATATTTTATGTTATATATTTTATTTTGGGTTGAATTTCCCCTTTAAGAGGCCAGTGACTCCACTGATTCATGATCTCTGTATTTAAAGCAGCGTCCTGAAGCAGTTTCCAGTCGCCATACACAGTAGGATGACTTTATACATCATACACACAGCATGACACACACACAGTCTCTCATAATTTATAAGTGTAACTGAGTTATGCTTTGCAACTTCAGCACTTATTTCACGCTTGGACAACAGTGGTCTAACATGGTTAGTGTAAGTGGCATATGCTCATGACACACTGTAATTACGTGAGGGAAAGTGAGGTAATCGTGCCAGCGTTCACCAGACTTCCACAGCTCACCACAGTGGGATTTGTTGGCGACGCAGCAGTTTCTCGGTTGAGGGTTAAAGACCTTCGTTGGGGGCAGTGAGGGAGGGGCAGGCTCTGCTGGTTCCTGTATCACATTCAGATGAAGCTAAACAAGCTCTACACATAAGTTTGCTTCTCAAACATTGGACGGCCGATAGGTTAAAGAGGTTCACCTTGAATTTGATTGGCTTGCTCCTGGTGCAGCTTGAGGCGACATAAGAAATGTGAGAGCATTTATATCAATATGTCAAAAGACTCATAGTCAAAAGTCCCTTTACCACGCACCTGTAATGAAAACCCACTGGACTAACACACTTCACTTTTTAAACTAACAGTTTATTCATGGGTCACATGATCTCAGGTCAGCTCGTGCGCATCCAACCTGTTTCCCTCGTGCAGGGGGAGACGCTGATCCGACGCGCTGACGTCAGCAGGTCTATGACAGTACTTCCTGGAGTGGTGTTTGTTGTGGGAAATAATAACCACCGTGGAGTCGGACCTCTGAGAGGACAGGACGAGCTTACAACCACCACACCGACCTCCGAGCATGTGTCCGCGGCATCAGATGAGACGGGCGGAGAAGTGACGGCCGGGACCGAGTAGGGGGGACACGGGGGATATCCACGGACTGACAGCCCCTGCAGAGCCGAGTCGAGCCGAGCCGAGCGGAGCCGCCGACAGCCTCCGAGCTGTCGCGATGTTGTAGCCCAAACCATGGACAGCAGAATAAAGTAAGAGTTTGTTTCCTCTCTCATGCACAACTGTCGAGCTAACGGCTAAAAGTGTAGCTCGGGCTAACCCGGCGGCAGCTGAACGTGAACCGCGGAGGAATGTTGTAATTTCACCGCCATCCCCAGCATCATGTCCGGCTGTGGATTTAACCGCCGAGGCCAGCTGGCTCCTCAGCATTTGGGTCAACCAGTCTGTTGCCCTGCTCTTGCTAGCTCACCGCCAATTAGCCGCTCCGCTAGCCGAGCAGACAGCCTCTAAACCGGGGGGTTACCTGTGGACGCGACGCCCTCCCCGCCGACACCACCACCGCCCGGGTCCTGCCCGCCGTGACCCCGGTGTCTCCCCCCCCCCATCCTCCGCGTTTATATGAAAACTGCTCATTAATGCACGCAGAGCAAAGCGGTGTCAGCTGTAGCTAACCTGCTGGTGTGGAGCTGTGACTCATGGTAACTGAAGTAGGCCAAGTGAGCACAGGTCCCCCTCACGAGCGCAGAAATGCTGTGAATGTGCAGGAATCGAACAGTAACACTGTTGTTACACATGCCGGGGATGCTGTCAGCGGCTCCATGTAATAACAGCTGCTTGTCATGTCCCCAAGAATCAACAGTGGTTTGTGTTGTTTTCAGGGAGAATCCAGAGAGGACATTTGATCTGGTGGTGCAGGTGGCGTGTCCAGCTTCTGAACATGAAGGTATGTGATGTTATGACCACAACTGTGATCTGCCTGCTTAATACTAGTTTTTTTTTAAAAAGTTTCTGATCTAAAATGGATAGAGGTATAGTTCAAATGATTAGTCACTTCATTATTTCATCAAAGGCATTTAGAACGTTTTTATTAAGTGATTGTTTGGATAATTTGCGTAAAAATGTCTAAAATTTCATTGTATTAACTACATAGCATGCCACTCGCTAAGGCAAATGCAAAAAGAGCTTAGGGATAGGTCAGATTTGAGGATGTTTGACACGTATTCATAAATGATGTTTGCACACGCTCAATCTACAAGAGTCACTTCAGCTCAGTTTCACCACTCAATCAGCATTTAGTTTCATATAAACCTACAAGCCAAAGCAAACAATATAAATTAGCTCTGGTTTTTGAAGATCACGCTTTGATATCTGATGTGCTGCTTTTCTCAGTGTTATTGATCTAATATAGTAAATAAGTCATATATTTTGATTATGGCCATTGGACAGGCAAACATGGCACAGAAAGATTTTAATTTAAACTCAGATTTTCACACGGATCCAAGATCTCATAAAATAAGTAATTATTTTATGAAGACAAATAAAGAATTATCGAGAATGAAAACAATTATTGTGTCTGTGGCATTAGCTTCTGTTTTCATTAAGATTTTTAGGTGTGCTTGCCAGTTGCATTTTTTTCGTTCACCATTTGTTTGCCAAAAATTACTGTTTGTTGTGTAATTACAGTAATTGTAAGGCTGCACAGCCAAGGTTTCATGTAACGTCAGCAGCTTTGTTTACCAAGTGTACTTGCACAGTATTTTAGGACAGACAGTGAGCATCACACAACACTGCATGGCTGAGTCTAGCCGTGCACAATGAGAGCAATCATTATGTCTGCTGTGTTACTGTGTGTTCCCCAGAGAAGAACCTATTCTGTTATTAAGCCTGACCATAAGTTCACCATTGTAGGCTTTTCTCTTGCAATTGTGACCCCACAGAGATTGTTTGAGAGAGATCACGCTTGGGTCAGCAAGCTGCATTAACAGTTCTGCTGCTTTCAGTGGTCAAACATTCCAGCAGCCGTGGTTGGGACAGAAAGTGGTCAGGCTAGCCTGGGAAATGACTGCGGGTGATGAGGAACAACATCATATTCTGCCTTTATAAATATGGGAAATAAAGTAACCAATATTTCACATCAGTATCCAGTGTCACCCATAAGTCAAATATCATGTAAAAACATTTTCACTGCATATTACACCAGCTGTCTTATTTTGCCCACTGAGTTTTGACATTAAGGAGGTGTTATGTGGATGGTTCACTCATGCAGCTGCTGAGCTGACCAGAGCAGGCTGAACGTTGTCCTTGGATGTAGTTCTGATATTGGATTTTAAACCAAACTCATAAACCACCGGCCTGTGCTGTAATAACTGACTTCCCCCACGTATGATCCAGGGTCAGACTCATATCCGGACTTCTGCTCCCTGGAGCACAGCTACAGAGCAACGTTTGCACACCCCTCCGGTCAAATGGAACATGAGCATTCGGTGCAGTCATTTCACTGAAGCACACTTTCTGCTCTGTGCGGAGCCTTGATTGGACAGAAGAATATCCCTGTTGAGGAAGTTATGTTGTAGATGTATGTCTGCCAGCAGGGGCTTACGGTTGTGGTGGATTGTTTTTTAAAGGAGCAGTTTCAGATGGCCATATGAGGAATGAATCACTTCTCTCTGAATCTAATCAATTTCCCTTTCTTAGTCTTGGCTTTTGCTTAAGTTTATATGAAATTAAATGCTTCTTGAATGGTAAAACTGCTGAATGGACTCTTAGGGCCTAAGTGAATTGATTGTGTAAAAATATTATTTATGTACGTCTGTCAAGCACTAAAACATGGCCTATCCCTTAGCTCTTTTTTGCATTGGCCATAGTGTCATGCTATGTACTTTTATTATGTGATGAAAGGGTTAATGCTGTGAGTCATAACACAGGCTTTGGCCATGATATGAAACCTCCACAGTCACTCGCCACAAACTGAAGCTGTTTCTACTGCGGCCAAACATCAGGTGTGTTGCCAAAACGCACAACTTCACAGTTCACACATTATCTTCCCACTACCTCACAAAGGCAAACAAATAATAGTGCAACCACGACAGACTATTAAATCGTCATAGCAACAAAGTGTAGAAAGCATTTTGAGAAGTGGAAGGTTTCGGCTTGCTCATATTTCTCCTATCACCTCACAGTGAAGGGAATTCAGTTTTGAATTTAGATTGATTCTGGCTGCATTTCAGTTTCTGTGACATCCTTTGACCGGCAATTTGGTTTACTGTGCACTGTGCGTTATAATGACTGAAAGGGTGTACCCTTTGTGTGTCTGGAAAGCGTGTGTGTGTGTTTGTGTGTGTGTGCGCTGGGTTTTGCTGATGCCGCACCAATGTTGTGACACTCTTGCCACATCCTGGTTGTGCAGGTCTGAAACTAGATCCACTTATCACAGCCTGACATGATATCACTGAAGTGTAGTGGGGAGATCAATGTGTTAGTAGTTATCATGATCAAAATGCAGATTTAAAAAAACCCTGCAGCTTTAGTCAGACAAAAATTGCTTTGCCTCTTGCCTCTATAGATGGTCAGTATAGCTTTCCCACGACTTCCTGCGTTCACTGAATTTCACACCTCCTGTAGTCGGCAAAATACATGCAAATAACACCCACATATTTGCAGACAGGGTTGCTATAAGCCTGTATTTTAATAAGTTGTTTCACAGTGACCTTTTTAAACAAGTGTTTTCAAAATAGATTTCTCACTCATTACATCGTTGACATTTTGGAACAGAATCTGTCTGAGTTTTAAGTCCACAAGGTTATAATTCTTCCAGGCCAGAATTTCCTAATGAAGTTATTAATACTTAAAAAAAGAATAATTAATGAGTGAATGCTAATTGTAAAGTTTGGATGGAAAATACATCAACTTGCAAATACACAAAATCACCAGACAGTAATTGTGCATGCACAGGAAATAGTTTACATCTGTGGCCTAATTTTAGTAGCTTGACTTGTGCTTACTTTCCATATAGCAGGGATCACAGGGCCTTGTGCAGCATTAGGCACTGTTATCTGAACCAGTGATGCAGGTGTGGTGTAACAACCGCACACAGCCCATCCCAGACTGTGTAGATAAATACACACATTTTAAAAGAAGAAGCAGTTCGCTTTGTAAGATAAGGGACTTTTCTTTTTCTTTTTTTCTTTTAATAAATTGCGGCTTGATATAGTACAAGTGACAGTGTTACGCGATAACATTACTCTTTTTCTAAATGATCACAGCATATCATTTTGTGTTTTTTTTTTAAAGCTTATAATAATGAATCTGTTTATGAATAATTATTATTTATTTTTTGTTCACAATTGATTAAAGAAATGTAATTTACAGACGAACTGTTAACGTATGTGCAAAGGTAGTAGGTAGCCATTTAGTACGTTTTGTCACTTAGTATTACCATTACTGAAAACCTGACAACTCCACTTAAAGCATGTCCATTACAAATTAATGTCTGTTTCTGTCAGACAAGGTCCCAGTTATTACTTTCATGGGTTGGTTTAATTTTTGCGGTCTGTTCCTGGAGAGCATCCACAGCAACAACATAACATTATGAGATAAAAGATAAAAACACACAAGTCCTTCACAAATGTTATTATAATACAGAAGGTTTCATTTTAGTAAAGATTTTTTCCAGGCTGTTGGAGTTGCGGTCTCCACACTTAATAAAAATTTGTCAGTAAATGAGATTTTATGAGAGCATCAACATTCCATAACTGGAGTGTTGCTGGAGGGGGAAAAAAACAAGAAAATAAAGCTCACAGCTACAATGGTGGCATTGTCAATATCTGGACTTGGCCCCACACTTCTAACCATGGATGTGTGGGTAGATGACAGACACTGGCCCTTTTTCCTCGTGCAGGCCCATAGAGACCTGGCCTCCCTGTTCAGTGCGAGCTCAGTTCCGCTTAGCTCTGTTGGCTCAGTGCTCCGTGGATGCTCAGGCTGTGAGCGAGCGTTGCCTGAGAGCGTGACTGGCATGCTAGCTACTAGCGGCCCTGGCTACATAAAGCCATATTGATGTGTTTCCAAGATGCTGCCACAGCTAGCAGATGACACTAATGCTGCCAAGGCAGTAGGTGGGGACAGATGCTACCTGTCCTCACCCGCTCTCTGCAGCCAGATTGTTCCCAGTAACAAAGCAATAAACTTAATAGATCAGCATATCAATTTTACCGCAACATTCATGCTGCAATTAGGGGAACGATTTATTGTTTCAGAAAAAACCCAATGAGGGCAGCTTGGTAAGAAATGAGTCTTCACAGAAGTGGGATCCTGATTTTTAAATCAAGCCCTGGTTCCTCTCTTTGTGCTTCGCTTTCTGTTTCTCACGCCTGACTTTTCTTTTCTCGTCAGTCCTCCCACAGTTCGGATATGCAGGTCAGATGAATTTGAAGCTCTACCTTGTCCTTGAGTGGACGTGAATATTTTTTGTGTGCACTGAGACAGACAGACATTCCTACCAAGGTGTTTTCCTGCATTTTACCCCTGAGCTAAGACCCCCGTAACACCAAACAGGATTAAACAGTAATGGAGATTATGTTTTATTGATATAGTCCAAAATCACAAATTTGGGGATTTATGTCACATATATGACACCCTCTACCCTTAAAGAGATACTGCACACTTGAACATGTCTTTTGAGCTGTAAACTAAAAAATATGATAAGAAATAGGTATTTCATGGGTTGAACATGGCTCATGAAGCCACCCAGCAATTGAAACCTACTCAGACCTTGCAAGGCCGATGCTGATTTGATGCCCTCTATTCAAATACTGGTGGGTTCATTATCAGACTGGGAAAATGGTGTTTATAGACGATTTGGTCTGGTTTTATTCCAGTAGAGTAGAATTACCTTTGGCACCTTCCCTGTGGTCCTCCACCACACTAATGCCCACTTTAGGGGAT